AATATGAGATTATTATAACGAATTATAAATCCGACTTCGATTACAATAATGTTTTTCATTAAGGTCAAATATTTGTTGAAATGTTGAAAGGTTAAATCTATCCGACATGAATTTAATTTCGACTAGCAATGTCTTAACAAAAGAGTAAATAAAAAAAAATCCACATCACAAGCACGATAATTAACTCTATTTTTATTTTCTATGTATTTTCTCGGATAAGAATACAGGTTCAAGATCAAGATATTGCGTAGTCGAAATTCTTTCAATAGAGTTTCAATACGGCAATGAAATATGAGGACTACTTTTGTAGATAATATAAAACACGAAGCGCCTACTTGTAATATATCTATTCGCAGGTTGTTGTCTTCTTGCGTTGCATGTGTTGTGTATACTAGATCTAATAAACTGATATAAGGATACGACTAAAGTGCGTAGATTTAAAGCCGCTTTCAATTACCTACATTAAATATGATCATTATACAAGGAAGTAATATATAAAACAGATCGCGTCCTATTTATTTCTTATCATTTGTAAGTGTTCATCATTACATACCATACGACTGCAATTAACCACATAATACACCTTACATTTATAGACTACAGTTAATCGAATACCTGTATGTACAAAGAGAGCTAAGAAAACCGAAAACAAGCAACAAAAGCAGTCGAGAAAGAGGGGAATTATGGTGTTCATATTTCCCAATGAGAAAAATGTTCTAAAGAAAACCTTGCGTTTATGTATGAATGGGGAAGAACGAGGAAATGAAGTAGGTGATAGAATCTACAGGCTTCAATGGTCTCAAGACTCTACTACATGCCCAAACAAAACGTGGCTTCCATTACGACAAGGTAAAGTTAACGATGAAAAAGTGAGCAGAGGAATTACGGTGCATGCCTCGGATCTCGTACACTTTAATCAAAATAAATGTAATTATTTCAAGGGATGCGCAATACAAAACAACTATATTTATTTACGTCCTATTTCCAAAACAACATTTCCCAGATAGTATCCATGCCGAGCATTGCAATGTGTGTACTGCTATTGTCATCCATTATCTTTAACATGTTGTAGTACATTGTGTAAGTGTTTACATTCATGACCAAGCTTATGGGGAGATAAAGCCAAATCTAGCTATATCTAAGGTAGATATACCTTTTTCTAAAAACTTGTTTATTACTAGTCCTTAATGAATATAAGGGTAACTTTCTTCACACATCACTATTATATATTCTGCTTTGGAGGAGTTACTTCCCCTTTGTGTATCTATAATGTAAATGTCTTTAATATATGTAAACAATGTGTTCACCACCGGATGTAGCTGTAAGGAGAAGACTTATATAGGCAATGCCTGATGTCCAATCCTGTTGACTTCTTTTGTCAATAAAATATGTTAAAATTGAAAATTGAAGCAAGTTTCAAATTTACCTATTTTGTAGTTTTAGTCAACGAGTATCATAATAATATTTTGACAATGAAGGACATTTAATTAAGGCACATAGGATCGCTTAAAGTGCAATCCTACTGAAGCATCAGCACCCGGACACTGTTTTATACCACACCACCAGGTCATATTATTATGGCACTAGGCTAACAAGAGGCACCTATAGAGTAGGGAGAATTCTAAAAATAAAAATAAATGATGTGAGAAGAGAAAATAGATGTCCAAAATGTTGCGATGGGGCCATCAGATCAATTTTGGTTTTCTCAGTGTCTGTTAACCCTTTCACCACTGTGGACCATAATGGAATAATACATACCAATTCATAGTATAGTCTACTACAGTTACATAGGGGTGAAAAGCCCAAATCAGTCGCCTCATACAGTTATTCGTTTTCCTTAACCTTCACAGGTACAGTTTGCTGTTTTACGGATCGTGAAAACGGCGCCACTGGTTAATTACAATAGTGCTATCGCACTATGATTTACCAAAATAGCTAGACCCAGAAGAAAGTAGGTCTTGTATATATGTCGACCTTGATTCACAGAGTACTACAAATCCTTAAAGATCCAAGTAGAGAGAAAATGCAAAATGAACAACTTTTATTTGTAGCAACACTTAAAACTGACGTCTGTAGCTGTTCAATCATTAATGTTATTTCAAACATCCTGATAACATCGGCACATTTCTGAATGTTAGATCTGCTTCCAAGTACCAACGCGTTAGTGATTAGCGTGTACTGTACGATATGTATTTAATACGCAGCCTTGTGTGGAATCTGAATGAAGCGCTCGGTGTGAATCTCTTGCACACATACCAGACTCGGAGAGCGTGCGAGACCTGCCGAGTCCCGTTAAGATGTTTGGCAGGTTATAGTAGTCCCCAGCGGGGCAACCCATACCAACTCAAGTACCAATGCAGTGTCTTAAACAGCACAGACTGTAAACAACTTCACTTGTAAAATAACTAATTTAGAAACGGGAAAAAATGTCTCAGGCAGGTGTTTCAAGAGTTCGCCATTTATCACTGTCTAACGGTTGAGGGATTGAAGAATGCAGCAAGTTTTGCTTGGTATGTTGATAATATGGTAAACAGTGAAATTGGTTTATTCGTCATTTACAATGTATTTAATAAAAAAGAAAGTGGGAGAATAAACAGTATGTATAACACACACAAGAGAAGATAACTCCATTTCATACCTGTATGACACTTCTAAATAACACTGGAAAATTAGCGTGAATGCTTTCACACACAACTAATATATGTATAGCGTTTTATGGTCGAGCTATATGATCTCTACCACGAGAAAGACGCTTTGTTGGCAATACAGGAAGTTTAATATTTATACAAAAAAACACTACAAAGTATTAGACGTTGTAATATGTTTACGCATTCGCGAAATTAAAACTCTCGTGAAAATTAGCCAGTTTGTACAGTATGTAGAATTAGGCCTAGTTCATAACGTGTACCTGTTGAGACGGGCTGTTCAGAAGAGCTACAAATGTTTTATTTTAGAAAGTGTCATAAGCTTGCTTATTGTTTTCATGTATAAGTTACTGTTCACGAATATAAAATAAAGATTACATTGATATGTAAATAGGTAAAAAAAAAGACACAATGAATACAACCAGAAATAGTGATCATTTGTTTGAGGCTGTGCGACCTAATATCACGAAAGGTTCTCTGAACGGTGTCTAATTGCAATGGCGCCAACCTCGGTGGATACCTGTTCGTGCTAAATCACAAAGATATATATATGTACTAGCCCGCAATATCTTGCTCTTTCCCCAGACTTTGACATGCTATTGCAACTTGACATCTCATTATTCTGTACAGTCCAGTATTGTGACAACAGATTGGTAATATTTGTCAGGAGAAATTCAAGATTTAGTCCCAGGAGCATAGCTTTGGAATGCTGTCTAGGTTTAATAAAGCGATGGCATTTTTGAAACGCGTTTAACCACTATGTTTACCCGTTAAAAACTAGCGTTATAGTAGTAATTAAACCATAAGCATATATTTAAATTTGCTCTGCATCCTTCCATTGCAATGCATGGAGAAGACAAATGTTGTTATCAGACTATAACAACATTTGCTATTGTAACGTCATTAATCTCTTTTGTGACGTCATCAATGTCATCGATGTCAACACCTAATAACTAAATAAAGCATAACTACTCTATCAAAGTGTAAATATAAATATCAAATAGTTTAGCAAATATTGTTATGATCCTGTAACACACAATGCTATCGCTGACAAACTTACATAAAGCCCTACCGGACTTTATTTAGTTTGTCATCAATAGCAACATGCGTTATAGAACCATAACAACATTTGCTAAAACATTCATTCCCCAGAGTTTGAAGGACAGACAACGCAACCATGACGATCTGGTCAATGTACCACAAGCAGTTGGTACATAAAAACTCTACCTAAGGGTAGTACAAGTAGAATACGTTTTGTTATTATACTGTCAGAGAGAACAATCTCATAAAATTCATAACATAATACATATGTGCCACAAACAAGCTCCATCATCTGGTAGTTATCAGCTGTTGGTGAAACACACACATAAAATCATAGTTCAAACGCATTGATGTATAAAACAATTAGGAATCGTGTTCCATCTGCCAGAGCTTGGAATGAGGCCGTCATAAATTCGCGCTGTAATATACATTCATCTCAAGTATTTGTTAACTTTTACGGTAGGCAAACATATTCAGTACTCTAAATAACAACATAACCTTCTACTATGTTCGAAAGTATATAAGACAATAGGGACAGATATAGTAATACAAAAATACCATGTTACATTTCTTTTCTATGAGAGAAAGCCGAATCGATCATCAAATAAACCGCAAAACCGATGTCATCACTTTTTTATTCAACACCATAACTGCTAGGGTCACCTAACAAACATAGAGGTGCTGTATATCTGGACGTCATGTGGACGACGTTTGTAAACTCGACAGGTGTTGCACGCGAGCACGTGAGTAAGAGAGATTGACAAGACACGTGATAAGTTACCTATCAATCTAACTTTTCCGTGTCTCTGTAATTACTATTACACGTGCGGAACAGCTTCAACACCCGTCCGACCTCGGAGCGTCTACAGATGCTTATCAGCCTACAATTTATATACAAGCGACCTACATACGGACATCTTCATGACGAATGCCCTACACACATGTAAATTATTCCTAACTAATCCATGCCGCTAGCACTGGATACCGGAAGAGTGGATATATGATGCTGGCATACACTTTGCGTCTGTATTATTAAAAAATCACGAGACTATTATCAACGTGATAGGTTGGTTTATAAATGTGGCGATTGGGTATCCATTTTGTTTTAAAATAAAACTGTAGCCAAATTGAAATGATTGAAATGATATTTTAAAACTTTATATAAAGGAAAGGGAAAGAACGGAATGACGTTTTAAGTAAATAAGTATAAAGCAAAAAAAAACTATCTTAAACAATAGAAAATGAATAAAGTACATATATGAAACAAAAGAAGACAGCACAGTTGGCTTGCTGTACCCAAGTAGACCAAGTTACCTGATTTTCCTACTCCCAACTCTCCTAGTAGGACTATGTTGTAGTCCGGACTATTACCATTCCGATGGGAGACTCGTTTTCCACTCATATTGACAACTCACAAGTATCCGTCACTTTCTATAACCATTCAGTAAAACATTTATCAATGTTCACAGACACTGCTAAGATCCATTGTAAACTGTAAAAACATATTTCATCACTGAGTAGGTGTCCAGAAGTCTTATGTGTGTACCGAGTATCAATGGGAATGTTCACCGTATGTACCTAGGCCTTGCCACAACTAAAACTGTACCAGCTTCCGGCGGAGGCAGTTTTTACTAGGATCTGACTCGCTGATTGCGCTCATGCCTTGTGCATTCATGTGGAATTTGGCACAACGGAGCTTTACATATGAAGTTTCCATCTGCACGTGAACGGCAGAGGCTGGTGAAGGCCAAACATGTGGTGATGGTACATCCATTGGCCTGCCCTGAGAGTGTGGTATATTATGTGAGACATGCTTCACCACACATCACAGCAACATGCGGGGTCTGTGAACTTTGATAACATTAGTTTGTATAGAGGTAACACTTCATACGGCCTCTAAGGTTTAGTCACACATTTATAAATAATACCGTTTTGTAATAGTCACAGCTTTGATTATGAAAAAATAATATCCTGTCTTGATCTTAACAACTCTTCCATTGAACTATCAATAATATGTTGTTACATTTGTATTGCATTTATTAGTTTCGTTCAATTTGTAAGCTATAGGAATATTGCCTTTACTTTCGTAATCATTGCGTTCATTGAAAATAAGTTCTTCTAAAATAAGTGGTTAATAGTGGCTACAATGTAAGGTATTGTTGAAATATGTTGTTTATTCGTATACACACATGAGCAATATTTGCCACTAGCACTTGTATTGCATAACATGTGATCAAATTATTAATACATATTTCTTCCCTAGACTATCTTTTTTTTTTATGAAAAATCGTGTTATTAATGAAAAAAGCTAAATTAAAATTGCGATTTGATTTTCTGTTCGTTATAATTTTGATGCATATCCCTATCCTGAAAGTTACAGGTAAATGTGCATATGAAAGCGCGCATCTCATTTTTTCAATCTTTTAGCAATGGTAATGAAAAAATTGAGCCTGAATGATTGATAAGACTTCTAGGGTTTCATTAAGTTGTTACTCTATGTTAAGAAACAATTGCGACGTCAAATGCTCATTCATGAAGGTTTATGGATTTTGGGATGAAATTGGCGTTCTTTATTCCGCTTTATCATCGTATTGCAATACAAATAGTAGGACCCTGTTTACTAATGACTTTCTGCGGTCGAGGGGATATCGGAGAAATGTATATTGCTCTGCTGCATCCTTGTAATATTTGAGATATTTTCCTTTTTCCTAGAGTTTATGACGTCTGTGTCTCTCGTTGACACTCTAACCGTGCCAACTTTCTATCGTGTGTCATTATATGACGATACAGTGTTGAAGAGTCGTACATCATTACTCTTAAAGATTAGTGATATGACTTATAATTCTTCAATTAATGAAGGCAGAAATGTTTTAAAATCTTTAATTGTGTCAATTTTTATTTATTGCTTTATAAGAATAGGAAATATATAGGAGTGCTTTTGAAACTTGATTTATCAATATAATGTTTTTCCTTCAATATAACTTTTGAAGACATGGAAAACTGTTCTTTCACGTATAAAGAGATTGTGACATGGAGTATAAAACTTCAAAAACAGTTTTTAAATATATTCAAGTATAATACAAAGGAAAATCCCTAATTACAATCTCGGACAGAGAAAGGAAAAGACAACAGGTGTCCAAACAGGAAACAGGATGAAGCATGCGCAAAAGTCATTAGCGTTAATACAGTATTCATATATTGGTTTCTATGCTTCAATTATCGCGTAAAAAAACGAGGATTTAGTAATTACTACACTTTACTACACATTACTACACTTGCCTGCACAGAAATGAATATTCGCTTTTTCAGATGGTATTTTAATAGTATTTGAAATCATTTTGTTTTCAGCATCTACATTAATTAATTACTTACCAATATCTACATGTGAGTGTATAGTGCAGTGAAGCTATGTGCTGTTGTATATATTATATAACTATATAACTATCTGTTGTTAAAACTATCTGTGGTCGTGTTTCGGTGACTGTTTATTTCAATTTAACTATCTGTTGTTTATAACTATCTGTTGTTTATAACTATCTGTTGTTTATAACTATATGTTGTTTATACATATATGTGGTCGTGTTTCGTTGGCTGGTTATTTTAATTCAACTAACTGTTGTTTATAAGTATCTGATGTTTATAACTATATGTTGTTTATAACTATCTGTGATCGTGTTTCGGTGGCTGTTTATTTTAATTTAACTATCTGTTGTCTATAACTATCTGTTGTTTATAACTATCTGTTGTTTATAACTATCTGTTGTGTTGTTTATAACTATCTTTTGTGTTGTTTATGACTATCTGTTGTTTATAACTATCTGTTGTTTATAACTATCTGTTGTTTATTACTATCTGTTGTTTATAAATATCTGTGGTTGTTTCGGTGGCTGTTAATTATAATTTAACTAACTGTTGAGGTCTTTTATTAAAACATTATCTGATCCTTTCAAACTTCACATGTTACTATCTGTTGTTTATAACTATCTGTTGTCTTTTCTTGTTATAAAGCAATTTGTTGTTGTGTGTTATAATGTAACTATTTTTGTCATGTTTTATCATATAACTGTGTTGTCGTGTACTTTCACAATATAACTACTTGCGGATGAGTTTGATAATAATTTTTAGTTTTATAAGATGTTGTTTTGCATTCAATATTCAAAAGTTTCCCTTTTCATCTTGTGTCGCTAAATTTGTTAGCACATATTAGTTGTAGTGTATGTATTTAGTTTCTTCACTTCGCGGTGGCCAAGCCGTTAAAGCGTCGGACATCTGCTACCACTAGCCCTCCACAACTGGGTCGCGGGTTCGAGGCCTCAGTCGCGTGGTACTGGCCGTAGGTCGGAGGTTTTTCTCCGTGAACTTCGGCTTTCCTCCACCACAAAAGCCTGCCACGTCCTTAGATGACCATAGCTGTTAATAGGACGTAAAACACAAACAAACCAAACCAAAGATTCTTCAATTATCTGCTACATGAAGTGCACGAAAAGTTCCTGCCTGGACCACCTGGTTTCACCTCCATTATGGTTTTGAGGTTCATGCTGTTCTTTCTGATGGTTTGGTCTTCTGTAGTTCCTTTTGTTGTATTTCTATTGCCAGTGAGTACGGGTTTTGTCCTTGTGCATTACAGATTATGTCTTTTTCTTCTGTTTTGTTTAAGAGAATAACGTCTTCGTTTTAATTGTAAATTCAACACTTTGTATGTGTTTAACATTGAAACCCTTAACATTTTGGAGTTACGTTCACTTATCTTTAATTCTGTTTTGGTCTCTCATCGGTTCCCCTGTCTTGTCTGTTTTTCTGTGGACATTTGGTACTCTGATATACTATATATGGTCTATAAACCATAATTGTGCCGGTAAATTAATATTGTCATTCATCATATACCGATGGCAAGAGAGAAAGTGCAATATACCATCAATTCTTCAATATCACAATGTCTTTCGAAAAGCTACCAGATGCAGAGGGTGTTGTGAACTACTATACGATAAATATAAAAGTTTTTCTTTATACACAGACAATGTACGTATTAAATGTGTGGCAACGTTTCAAGCCCGACTGGTCCGTTTATCAAGCTATATCTTATTGAAGATATTAGTATACAATTAATCAGACACATTAATTGACCACTTTCATGTAACGACAATATACCACTAGGTACAACGTAAACAGGTTTAATACCTGGCATGCCTACGTGTCTTCACTCACGAGTGTGTGGTACGTGCATATTTCATCAGTTATTTATGCTTGCAGATGCGCTCCTCATACGTCATGCACACTGTAATGGAAAAATGTGTTTTTATCGTTTTTGTACGAAAAAGGTAAATATCACAGATAACTGGTATATCATAAATTAGTGTACAAAACACTAAATATATTTATTTGCCTAATTTTATCATCTTTCATAATCTTCATACGTCATTCATCCATTCACAAGACCAGGATAGGAAATTGTGATTTTGTATCTAAACCTAAATGTCGCTTGTACTGTACATGCAAAGCCGGTTTCGTTTCCTTCTTTTTGCTGTAATCTGAAGATGATATTGCGAAAAAAACTGCTAGCCAGATCAATTAGCTCCGAATTTATTCTTGTAATTATTTCTCAATAAGGCTTGTCAGGTCACTACTGCATTGTAAAAAAATATTTTGTGTCAAGTGTTTAACTTAACAGACAAAAATATTAAACATTGTAAACGACGAAAATAGTACTAGTCCAAACATTTGCGATTAATATTGAATCTTAAAAATATTCAAATGAAGTTAATTCAATGAACGGCGGCTGCATACATTTGTGGGGGAAACCATTGAAAATAGATAACATTAACTGGACTTTTACAACGCTATAGATATACATCTCCAGACTAATTACATTCAATTGTATACGTCAATGCTCTCAATCTCAAAACATCCACAGGGTCGAGGATATCATTAAAAACAATGACCTGCTTTGTGCCACTATATGATCGCATTTACTTACTTATACGCTCTCCATGCAGAAACGCGTTTTTCCTTTTCCCCTTTAATTGAGGACACTGCGGATACCAAAGCTGATCCGACGTCCTATGTATAACATTTAGGGGTCACTTTACTTTCTTCTACTTAAAACGTGGTGTCTGTGTAGATACAGTTTGATTAGACTTTTGTCAAACCAATAGAACTGAATGGAGTATTGTGTCACTGATCAAAAGGCACAGTGCAAGAAGCCACAATTTAAGTAGTCACTGAGTGGCACCTATATTAAATAAGCTGTTGATTTCAAACAATAGTCAGCATATCAATGCACGTGTATTTCCGAAATCTTACACTTTAACAAAATTACTAAAACCACGAAGCAAGGCTGAATTTGAAGTCGAAGGAGAAAGCCAAAATATGTTTCCTGTACCTTATTACCATATCGTCCACTACGAACTCTTCAGTAGTATTTAAGGTCAAAATAATGAAAATTCATGTCTAAATAGTCTACAAATAGTCGATAGTATTCCCTCTATAAATTGACGTACCACGTGCATATCCTACCCTGTGAATGCGCGTGTTGTACTAGCTGACACGTGATAGCGTGACTGATTGGGGCTCTTAGTTAAAACATTTTACGCGTATACCTTTCCCAAATTCTAAATTAAGCTCAGGGCTGTCAAAGTGAGTCGAAGGTTTGGCCCCTTATACCTATATCGGTGATGTTGGACGGCAGAAAACTCCACACGGTCATAAACTTGTCTGTAGCCCGTCCGGATCACATAAATTACCCGACAGGGTATATCATAGTATTACCAGATAGCTTTTGAAATGAATGGATATACGTGTAAAAAGTGTTTATAATGCAGACATATCTATGTATCACTAGATGGACGCAGAACTTAGGATAGATATTGCCAATTACGTATAATCAGTACCTATGCTGGAGTGATAATAAGATTGGCTACACCAGAATTACAACATACGAATCTTAATGAACTAGTCCCATTAGAATCTAAATTAACTTATATAATTGGAATTTCAAACTAGTCTCGTCAGAATCTTGATCTATAGCATTGTCAGAATCTGAAACTAGTCTGTATTCCTACTCTGATCCTGTTCAGAATATGCTTCTCTGATCTGAATATGATACTCTCATTGGAAATGGTATACCGTTCTAATCAGAATTGAAATATACTGCTCCCATCAGAATTGAAATATACTACTCTCATCCGAATTGAAATATACTACTCTCATCCGAATTGTAATATACTTCTCTCATCAGAATTGTAATATACTACTCCTATCCGAATTATAATATACTAATCTCATCCGAATTGTTATATTCTACTCTCATCAAAATGGTTATATACTACTTTCATCAGAATTCGTAATATATTACTCTCATCAGAATTGTAATATATTACTCTCCTGAAAATTGTGATATTCTCCTATCAACACATTTGTAATATACTGCTCTCATCCGAACTGTTATATACTATTCTCATCAGAATTGTAATAAACAACGTTCATCATAATTGTAATATACTACTCTCATCAGACTTGTAATGTACTATCTCATCAGAATTGTAATATACTACTCTCATCCGAATTGTAATATACTATTCTCATCAAACTTGTAATATACTACTCTCATCAGAATTGTATTATACTACTCTTATCAGAATTGTAATATACTTTCTCATCCGAATTGTAATATACTACTCTCATCAGAATTGTAATATACTAATCTCATCAGAATTGTAATATACTACTCTTATCCGAATTATAATATACTAATCTCATCCGAATTGTTGTATTCTACTCTCATCAAAATGGTTATATACTACTTTTATCAGAATTCGTAATATATTTCTCTCATCATAATTGTAATATATTACTCTCGTCAGACTTGTAATATACTATTCTCATCAGATACATTATTACATAGCTGTTATCTTCTTAATATTTTATTTAAAAATATTAACGCATTTTTCTCACCAAAATCGTAATAAATTTGTCCAAACACAATCCAATTAAACTTCTAACAATAGAATCTAAATGGACCTGTCTTATCGGATTACTACTACTCCGATTGTAATTTTACTACTATAATTTTAATCTTGATAATCTACTACTTTTATCCAATTCTAAATAAAGTCGTCTCATCAGAACCTTTTTATTTTAACCTTATAAGGAGCTTAACTGATTAATCCTATACAATTCTCATAAACTACTCTCATCATAACATTATAACTAGGTCTCCTCATACTCTTTATAACTAGTCTCATCAGAATCTTCGTTCATAATTCTCACCGGAACTCTTTTTAATTTAACATAGCCGGGTGTTATGTTTCACCATTATAAAATGTATGCCAATGTATGCCAATGAAAACAGAAACAAATTAACGTCGAAAAAGGCAGAATTTAGGATTACACATTGTGAGAAATGCAACGATTTTCTTTTGAGTCGTACATGTACATTACCAGTTACTTAGTTAAAGTAACCTTACAACAACAGACATGGATAATACACAATGATCTCTAACTGTAGTTCAAGGTTACATCTGATTAGTAGAAACTGTCCTTTCATCTATATACTGTTTTAAATTTTTAAATTATTATATGATAAGTGCTCAGCACTGAGCTCGCTTTTATCAGCTCTAACTAACTTATTAGATTTATTCATTTGTTTCAATTCTATCGCCCATTGTTAGGAGTCTAGCATTGTGGTCTCCAACATCGCTGGTGAGCTTTAATCAATCAAAATATGTATGAAAAATTAAATTATGTTGATAGTTTATGGTACAATTAGTATTCTGCATTTAACAGGATTTCTGCACGTGTAAAATAAAGACTATATATCGATATAGTTATGAAGCGAAATATCATTCACCAGTCAGGAACAGTGGCAGATTTGTAGTACAAATTTATCTTATTATATATAAATAAGAAAATATCCAACATTTCTGCCTATATTTTTATATGTTGTTCTTAAGCATTGTCGTGGAAAAAACCCAATTAAACAAGTGAAGTTATCAGTTACCAATAACAAATACTGTTCATTGTTCCTATTTTGAAATATCATTGCTTGACCAGGTGCAGGTAAATTGGTAGCTGGTGTAGTATTATCTTCAACAGATAATTCTGTATGTGCTGACTAATGAAAACATCTACATGAAAAACTGCCCTGTTACAGTAGTTTATACTGCTATAAACAGAGATAAACACAGTCTATGCTAATCGGATAAAAAAAAATGTTTAAGGTTGACATCGTTTATGTCCATTGCAGGACATAGTTGAGCACCAATGTGAATGCCACCATTACGATACGATTGTAGATATGTTGAGCTGTTACAGATAACAAAAAAGACAGTTTTAAATCATCTTATACACAGAGAGTTGACAACTGTCTAACGTTACGTAATGAAGGAAAATCGTAGCAAATTACATGAAATTCAGATCGGACATGTTAACAAATTGACTGATACGTTGGACGACTGCACTAGGCAAAAAAGCCCCACAGGAACATCCCTATACACATTAGGACAATTGCGTTGATGTTGACGATGCGTTTCCACCGTGGCTCCTCCCTGATGTCCGTCAGCATGCTCTGTTTGGTTTCATCTCCCTCGGGGCTGAGAACCTCCTTAGGAGGTTCGTACCCGCATATCAGGTAGAAAAAAGACTTCCATCTGGGCACCACCACTGAAGCAAAAGATTCATACAATTAATATGATTCCCCCCTAACGCAACGTAAATAGGCGGATGATTCTATGTACATTAAAAAAAAGTACCATACTACGAAATGTAGCCCGTCCTTTCTTTAAAATGTGTTCCCCCTCGAAGACTGCTTCACTTAGTTCTATAACCCCCTGTCAAGATAGGGAGGGCGACATCTTACGTTACAGGACGAGAGTAGTACGAACAGTTGGTTCCAATGAGAATCGAACCAGCGACCTTCAGCTTCCCAGGCCGACGCTTTACCAAGCGAGCTGAAGGAAAAGTTCCTCTAGAAAGATGCTTTACATTCATGATGTAGTCAAAAGTACCTCCATATTATATAACTGTAGCCGTTACTTGTTCATAATGTAATCAAATGCACTCACATATAATGCTGTATCCTCTACTTAATCACGTTGTAGTCTTACAGTACATATATGTAATGCCTTTTAGTATTATAATACCTCATTATGAATGACATTCAAAACAAATTAATGCAAACCTATTTTGACTTGGGCTATTGATTACCAACTAAAAGTTAACCTTTCTTTAATTGTTAAAACTCTTTAAATTGGCTGTCTTTACTTTTGTAATAAATTCATAACAACCAGTAGTTGTTACTCACATTGGATCACTTCACTGACGGTTAAGCGTTCGCCTCTGTGAGGAAGGCTTTGGGTTCTGTCCCCTGGCCGAGACATACAAGAGTCTATAAAAATGGAAGTTCCTACTCCTGCTTAACGCTCAGCACTTTAGGAGTTGGACGACTGGTTCGCCCGTTGTCAGTATAATGTGACCGAGTGGGGTGTCCTGCTGGGTGTCTTCGGCAGTATGTTTCAGTGAGGTAGCACTATAAAGTCGGCATCAGTTCCGCGCTATCACAAGGAGACAAACACGAACATATTGCGGCCTCCCAAAACACACGCAAACACTTTACGCATGCATCTTGCACACAGGAAAGGCCGTCATTAAAGGACCATAGCTGTTGATAGGACGTTAAACAATACTAAACCAAACTAAACCAATATCGAAGTGTTAAATGAACCACTTAGCAGCACGAAAGGTATACGGTAACTGGACAGTAACTCTGAAGTTATTTTATAAAACAGTCTACCTTCTGGTTTATCCCTCAGATCTGCTATTCTCTTTTGTCTAGCCTTCTCGGATATCCTGTTGGCCTCCTCTTCTTCCTCAAACGGAACTCTTTTCATGGTACTGTATCGCGTCCACCATGTCAGTCTCACTAACTGTTAGTATACACGTGCGTTTTAAAACGATTTATCTGTGTTTGGAAAAAACAAATATCACCCCAAAACAAGTAAACCAAATTGAATATTTAATCGATCTTTAAAGAACACATGTATAAATATATGTCATCGCCCCATAAGAGAGATTTGGATTTAAATTGCTTCAATATTGACTTAATAGTGTACTGTAAAACATTTTATTTTACTAGAAGACTTTAGTTTTTTAGTTAATTTGCGAAGAGACATATTTGCGAATATATAGTTTCAAGCGAATATTAATTCCAATTGACAATTAATACCAATAATGTAATAACGATCTCTTATTCAGCAAACACCAATAAAGCCTATAGGCAAATTTCGCGAAATAAATTACACACGAAAATAAAAGGATTTATGGCATTTTGTTCGTGATGAATAATTGAATATCTAAATATCTTAACATTTTTTCATACCATTCTCTTTTAAAGAACCATCCCGTTAACATAGCCATGCTATCTATCTCAACCATATATTTGTGGTAGAATTAATGGAGCCGTGATAAATTTAATTACTTACATGTTTTGGGTGGATCGGCTGCGTGATAAGTGATATAATTATAGTGGTAAACAGACTGATGAAGAACAGGATGATTGTGAAGTGTAGGAAATGAACTTTTGCAATGATTGCCGGCCTGAATTCCTCTTCTCCACAGGCTGGCGTCCCATAACCAAAGTCTAACCCGAGACGGAGAAGTCCAACTAGAAGGCCTACCATCAAACCCCAGAAGGCTCCCTGAAATAAAATTATTGAGGTGTTATATCTGCACGTTGTATCATGAATGAAGTTGCATAATGTATTTGTTATTTTTTAGAAATAATTACAACTTTATTTTATATTATACTTGTTACAATGTTAGCGATTGACAATACTTAATATATGAAACATTTGTATCTGTTTTTAAATATACTTTATTTTAAGGATCCCCACACCACTGCCAAAATCTGTAGCTACGCATTAGAACTGTTTTTCCGTCATGACCATAGCTTTGAAAAATATATTTCCGAAAAACCATACCTAGAAAGACTTTTATATAAAAAAAAAAAAAAATATACCTCAGATTATAATATCTCTTTAATCGACTACCTACTGAATGGAAGTGTCTTTGCCCAACTAATGCTACAGGTACAATGTAATTCCGAGACTATTGAAATTATGGGGAGGTTATTGTATATATGAGAAATCAGAGTGGAGTGAGATAAGGATCCTTAAGATCGGTATGGTCAATTTAAAGTCATCCTCTTCATATATATGTGATTTAATGATTCATTTAATTCATGACATCCAAGATACATTGATATTCTAAGAAATAATTATAAGCTTATTCTCACACACATTTCCATAAGTTTATTCTGTCAGCAAAAATCATGGTTCTGTATTATACAGTATTTATCGTTCAACTTACAGCTTCGTTTGTGCGTTTCCAAAGCATTGCAAGCAGGAAAAGGGAGAGAACCGGCGGTACAAGGTATCCACTGACAGACTGAATGTAGTTGAAGAGTTGTCCTCCTTGGGAAGCTTGTAGAATTGGGATCCATAGAATACTTACAGCGACGAGAACTAGCACGAATATTCTGAAAAAATATATACTATTGTAACAATGTGTCCTTTGATAGGTTGTATGAATATAAATCAAATTAGAATTAAATACTCTTACCGGTTGCGTAATTCAAAAATTTAATAGATACAATGATCATACATGTAAATCTCAATCATTTATAAAGATATGTCATAATTCAAACCGGGTCAAATTAATCTTATAATGTATTTTCAATCAAAAATGAAAATAACACAAAGTAACTATTCAATGCATGGTAGGGTCATTTCTTCCATTTAGAACGTATCATACATTTGTATGCGCTAAAATGTTTTTAATCTAAGGTGGCAGAGTACAGTAGAAATGGCTTGACCCTAAAAATAAAGGGCATGTCTCGGATAAACATGGATAGCGGATTCATCCTGCACAACACACCTACATATATATATATATATTTATAAACTACATTTTTAATAGGTGTTTTTTAGAAGAACTTTTTTTTTTTCAAAAAGTGATTTCCCCAGATTTGGGACTTCTGAAAACCATGGTTACCACATCAAAAAACACCAAAATATGCAAAAAATCATGATTTTTAACCCAGAATTTGACCCCCGCAAGTAGAATTGTTTTTCTTAAAACCTGTCTGAAATTAAATATCGCCTACTCGGTAACAGAAATACTCACGTTTTAGCATAGGTCATTCCGGTGGATTTTTCACAATATTTACACATGTGCTGAGTACAAAAATAGACTACATGAAAAGCTAGCTTTTGTTGTGTAGACACAGATTCGTAAATGCCCAAAATTGTAGTCTCAAACCAAATTCGTTTTCTTTTTTTTAAATTATGAAGCCCACATAGTCCACTTCATCATGTATATGCCAATTTTAGTGCTGATTTTTTTTTTTTAATTTTGATACATGTTATATTACAGGGGTTATTCATTGTATAAAAATATCACCCATGGCCACTGTACGCTACTGTACTCTGCTACCTAATAGTTGGAAACTAATGGCAAAGTTTCCCTGCACGGATTGAATCATGTCCGGTAGCTAGCTTTGGCTAAGTAGTTTATCGTTCAAAAGGGGGATACAATGTACCATGTTTTTAAAGATATGATATCTTCAATCACATGTGTAACCCGGTATGCCGTTCTGAGTCAAATCGACAAAAGTATGGCAGTCATAACCGTTCTAAGCCACATAGCAAAACAATCAATAAAATATATTAGACATTTAAAAAGGTTCTGATGTGTTGTCGTTTAATCATTCTTATGGCTTGCTTGTTTGGAACATGGAATATACATAAATGTATTGCAACAACCTTTAATATTTGCTTTTTACAAGAACGTATTATCTTCAAAAGCCCGTGTGGTATATCATACCTTCCTACAACTAAGAGCTCGCCATCAGAGGACCTTGGACGTAGCCGTCTCCATATATCCATGGTGAATATTGTACTGGTACTGTTGAATACAGAGGTCAAAGAGCTCATCAGGGCCGCCATCATTGCGGCTAACATCAGACCCTTCAATCCTAGATAATGCCATAGAAAAGGTGAACATTTCCACTTGCAATATATCAGCGCACAACATGCACGTACAAAATAACACATCTCATACTGAACTTTTACATTGAGATAACGAAAGACAAAATCAAACAAATCACTCTCAATACGCCTAATAGTAAATTATATATAACTCAATTACTATACTTTTTAAGTTTCAATGACCATTTTGCGTTTTATGATTTCGTGCTTCTGTTTGTATATCAGAACATTAAAGAAATTTATTCGTCAAAACCACTCCCGGGTTTCAATCAAATTTCAAGTTCATATCGCCAGAATATTTGTTTAACAAGCATAACATCCAATTAGTCTTCCTTTAAAGTCGATAGTTTCAAAATCTTTAATATGTAGATTCCATATTTTAATTAAAATTTAAGAATAACATTCTTGAAAATGACCCTGTTAACAGTATTTAATATTAAGAAACAAAATCCTCCTAAAAATGAGTACATACAAACATAAATAAAGAAAACGTTTCAGACCTCTTCCACGCATTTTGTTTATACATGTATGAGGCTATGCTTTCCACTTACCTTCAGGCATTAGCTCCACCACCAGTTTAGGGTAGGCGATGTTGGTACACCCGGCGGCATTGTCACAGATCTGTTTACACAAGACAGGGTCCACACAACCCACCTGGTCTGTTGATGACACAAAAACAACACTCATTAATGGTAATATTTTAATCAATAACAACTTTTGTTTGGTGTCACTGTATCAAACGTGTCAATGAAAACATATATTCGGTGTGATTAGGATGCAAATTACTCTGTAATTTATCTATGGCTATTTATCACATAATGTACTGTGTTATCCAGTGAATATACCCGTCATATTGTTTTGCGTATTCACCCATGTAATATGACCTATAAGTCCTGTGATTGGCTGTAAGTTTCAATTGCTTCCTACTGTCCTAGGCGTGACGCCTAGGACAAGTACATGACGTCACAGACTTCCGCACTGGAGTCAAAATGGCGGCTGTTTACATTTCGAGGTTGCATGGAAATTGTCCAGTTTCACGAATAAATGCCACAAATCTTGATTATGTGATTAAAAGGATCTTAAATTCGTTTTCATTTCATATGAAATTTATGATACTACCACCGACTCTCCCTTTGAGGACGTGCTATTACTTGAATTTGACCTTTTTTGTCATGGCGGGTGTAACCGTTGAAGTTGAAGATGCCTTCGATAAAATCTTATTTCTTATTATTCTTATTATCTTGTTGGTTTTCAAGGGCTAACATGTAAAGTTTTCCTTTCGTCATATTTTGTCCTAGATGTATCGAATACGAGATCTAATGACGGTTTTGTTGTAACTTAGGTGTTTTTGCATTTTCGTTTCATATCATAATTATAATAATATCATAATGTGTTTTTTTATTTATACCAATATTATATTTGTTCATGTCGAACCGTTCAAGTGTAAAACCACAGAAGAAAGAACTTAATACTGTTAGAAAAAACACAAATTTGTAGTATTCAGATGTTTCATACATATCCGTTTATGACTGTTTTAATACAAGCGTATAAAGCATATTCACTATACTTTACGTTTGTTTGGTAAACACGACAACAATGATTGTAATTTTGCGATACTATGAAGGCAAATAATACCATTTGTTTTAGTAAATTGTATTTTTAGTAAATCACAGTTAAGAACATCTCAATTTATGTTTGATTTAAAGCAAACGAACTGATGTTTTATAGATAACGACACCCCTTTGAAGAGCTCACCTTTGAATAGAATCCGGCTGATCATTCCAGGAAACACAGTTGTAAACAGAGGAAGTATCTTGAGGTAGGCCGCCAATATAGATCCACCCTTAACGTGATGCATATTCTTTGCAGCCAGTGTTCTTTGTACCAAAACCTTCATAACGCAATAAGGATGAAACTCATTACACAACCATGACACAATTTATAAAATAATTATTCAATTAATTATCAATATAAAATATTTATTCAATAAATCAATAAAATCATAAATGCATCAAATATTGAATTAATTGTGTGTTTAATCAAGATATAAATGAAAATAAATGAATTATGAAAAGAACGAACGAAGGTGGAACGAACAGAAATGAATGAAGGGAATCGAATAAACAGGAGAATGAATCGATGAAATAAGATAAAATTATTTTGAATTAATAACAGAATGCATGAGAAGAGGGTTAGTATAGCGTGCTACAGTGTCTTCTCTGTACCTGGTCAGAGCAGAAGTACCACGCGCTCAGAATAGTGATCCCGAAAACATTGCCAGGCCAAGGGAGATCAGTCGAGGAGGCATCCCGCAGTAAATGGAAGGCGTTGTCAGGAGGTATTCCACACGTAGAACCATTTATCCGCTTGTCCGGGATAGCGCGCAAATATTCAGCATACACCTTTTCCAATCCTCCTACTTTTATATAACCTTGAAAGTAAAGTTTTACAAAAATATTGTTAAAGCTAAGAAGTTAACCGATGTAACGTTAATATCTTATCCTGTAATATTGTTTTTATATGCTTATATTTGTGTTGTATGTTGCTGTCGATGATATAGGAAACATGCAAATTGCTCCTCGATTGTTTGTCGTACTTCTGCTACATTGCAGTTGATAGATAGTATGTTCTTATGATTTGAATATGGTTTCAATTTTGTAGATTGAATGTATGCTACACATTGACGTGCGAATTCATTGATTAATGAACTTTTATTCCTAAATTAAGTTTACGCAAAACGAGAGTGTTGACCAAATAATGCAAAAACCCGTCGTTTGTATTGACGAATAATTCGTAATTGTAACCAATGCCTGATATATGCTTACTAAGCACCATAAGAATAATGGATCCGGCCACCATTATGATAGTTTGTAACGTGTCTGTGTACATCACAGCTTTTAGTCCTCCTGTGAAATAAAAACAAATATGGTTATGGAGCGGTGAAGCAAAACAAATTATTTTTATAATACTTTGTTATAAAATTGATGTATACACTTTGTGATCGTGACTGCACTAATGTAAAATAAACAGGCAAATACAGTTGATGAAAATAACACAGCTGTAGTACACATGAAGAACATTGATTGTAAAGTAAACACGTTGGATAATGATGTAGATATAACATTGCACTGCCGTAGAGTACAAAACACGCATTCGGTTTAGTTACATTATAAAGTAAACGTTGCTGTAAAGTGAAACATAATAATATAAAAAAAAAAACTGCTGTAAAGAAGAACATGAGCGCTGCTTTTATTTGATTTTTTTACTGTTAGCTCAAAGATAAGCAATGGTGTAAAATGAATCATGATAAACATCTCTAACGAGATACTAGTGTACCTACCTGAGACGGTATACAGGGTAGATATCCCTAACAGCAGGAAAACCCCGGCGTATAGGTCCCACCCTACTGCCTGCTGTATAAATATGGTACCAGCATACATGTCAACCTAACAGAGAGAAATATATTTATACTTTACTGGACAAAGTTAGGTAATGGTTTGTGGAAAAGTTAGATAGAAAACATATATAACATAGCACAAAACACAAGGAATATAATATACCACAATGACAACACACGATGTCACGATATGCAAGAGCGATAACACAAAAAAATACCGCAATCTAAACACACAAGGGAATATACCACAGCGACAACACATACAGACACAATATACGAAAATATCAATACACAAGAACACAATAGACAACAGTGGTAACACAATATGAAAAACAACGTCACAATACAATAGGAAAATATCGCACGTCAAAACACAAGGACCAAATACACCATCCCATCAATACACATTACATTAAATAGAATTCATATTATAACACAACACATTTTAATGAATAGAATAAATAGAGTCCTTCAATATACTATAGTATATTTCAGACATAAGTTGTCTCCATTGCAGAGAAAAACTATATGTGACATCACCCCTTTCATCAATAGACGTTAACTGTTTTTCGACATTATGCAAATAATGTCGAAAAAAAAAATATTGCAAAATATTGTTTGTGCAATTGTTAGAGTGTCAACTCTAATTGTGACGTCATTTGTTATATCGATTTTGTTTCTTTGTATGGGGGTAATTTTTTAGAACGGCTACGGTAATATAGACACAGCTTTTTTCTTCGACAGACTTAAACTATATACCGGACTTTATAGCGGAAAAGCATCGCCCAGTCAAACCGGTAAAATCCAAATTACGTTGTTTACCAAAGTTCGATGTGATGATGAGCTCGCTCTCAATACAGACGAAGAAAAATGGCGAAAATTAAAATGCAGCGAAACGTTTTCGGTATACAGTATTTTATTCTATTTGTAGTGTTTTTGATGTAGACATAAACCAGGGATTAAATGTCACTAGCAACCGAAAACTGTATATATTATACATTATCAGTGACAGGTACCATACTTACAGATATTTTGGTGAAAACATATATGAGGAGCGCTAAAACTGACATATAAATCTGGAGGCGTTGTCCACCGAACCGTCTCATCAGGTATTCGGGTAAAGTATATACCTACAATGGAAATATACAAAAGTATAGTTTATACACAGCAGTGAAATTACTTAAATTTTTCATTTAACTACAGCCGTGATAATATATATGTATCGTTTACCAACAGCCGTGAAAATATAAATGCATCGTTTGTGTACAGTCGTGAAAATATATACATGTTTCGTTTACCTAAAGCTGTAAAAACACATGCATGTACCGTTACCTACAGCTGTGAAAATATGTATATGTTTCGGTTTCCTGCAGTTGATATATCAGATTAACAGTAGAAATGTATTAGTATGACGTACATAAGAACTGCATTGTGGGGCTAAACAAATCTGCTTTTATACCTCGTTTACCTAATAAGTTTCAAAATTATATTTTCAAACAATTTATCACAATGCCAAAAATTGATTATGAGTATCTGTTTTAGTGCGGAGTACAAATGCTGATCCGGATATCTTTTACAGTCATGTTATAGTATCCGTTTAATTTACTGGCGCCAGTGTTTTTTCTTTTAACAGATGATGTTTTTTCATTCTAACGTCGTGATATATTATGTGCTGCTCAGGGAAGAGCACATGGGACTGGTGAGCATGATCTTCATGGAGAGTATTTCATGTTGAGGACTGTTTGGCATAAAATTTCAGATCACCTGTTTCTTTAGCACAGTTAAATGATAAATTGATGCATATCAATGTTATAGTTAGCTGGAAAGTTAATTTGGGGGATTCTTTGTTCCCACTGGTCACTCCAAATTATTCTTATATATATTTATATACCACGACAATAACTTGCCAAGAGTTTAGTATTTAAGATAAAATTAATTGAAATTGTTGTGTTGTGGTTAATTTGTGCATATTTGATAAATCACTTACAGGGAAATAAGTTTTAACGTTTACACCTAGAATACATATGACATACCTTTAAAACGTGGTTACCTACTTGCTGCAGTATAGTTGCATGCATATTAAACGTGCATACCTACATCAGATTTAACATTCCTACATTACGAGTATACCTACATCAGATATGATATTCCTACACTGTAAGAATACCTACATTAGATTTAACATACTAATATGACAAAAATACATACACTTAACGTGTTTATCTCCGTGTACATGTACCCAAATCACCCGATCGTACACGTAACCAAATTGAACCCTGCAGCGATGTTAAGCTTTTAACACGTGCTGCTTATATTGAACAAGATTATACTTTTTTTCATGAGAATGTATATAACGTTCTTTGTAACTTGTATAAATGTATTCAGACAAGCGACTATTATCATAACTGTACAAAACAATTTTTCAGTACACTAAAATATCACATTATTGTTCATAGTAATAATTCAACGAAACTTTTGTATGCTTGTAAATCTTGATTGTTTCAACCAAAGAGAAACACAATTTAGTATGTTTAATAAAAATGCTATCGAAAATTCAAAAAAAAAAAAGGATCAATGTGATTCTTTCTGCTAAAATGCGTAAAATCACTTTAGCGCATTGACGGACTGCAAAACGATATAAAAACAATGCACGTGCACCTTACGACAATATGTAAACAGGTTATTTATTGTTGAATGGTATGCACTCGTGACCAGTGGCTACTTTCCGATGCTAAAACGCTGATTGAGACTAAATCAGAATTATGCTCCTCTATCAAAGCACTGTGTGCTTTACAAATAGATGCATTCTGAGTTGTGCATCACATTGATAACAGTTAAAAGGTGTATGAACACATTCAAGAATGGTAAGGATGTCATAAAAGAAGACACACGGCCGGGCAGGTCAGGTGTTGCAGTATCAAAGCAGAACATTGCTGCTGTGATAGCAATAATTAAGGATGATGGTCGTTATGATGTTTCTGAGGTTTTGTATGCTAATTTTTGAAAGTTTGGTGGACCTGTGATTCAAATACAGTACAAGGAATGGAAAAGCATCACTGCCACGTTTTATATAGACTGATCAAAAGATCAGAAATAACAAAACGTTCAAGTAAAGGGTTGAATGGCATCTTGCTAATGTCCTCCTGCAATGCTTGATATTGACCAACCACCCTATTCACCAGATCTAAGTCCCTAATTCCAAACTTCCTTTACCAACGAAATGCTCTCTGGGAAATGGTATGCCGCTAAGAGTTCTTTGGGTAGTGCCATTTTTCAAGTGTCTTGTCAGTATGCCAAGAGGGAAACTACAGCGTAGCGTTTATGTCATGGGTAGCGCGATTGCGAAAGTTTGCTTCCGCCAAGGGGTTTAATCGAAGGAATGTAATAGAAAGATTAAACCGTGAACATCATACATGTGGTTCCTGGCACTAGTAAGTGAGGTTACTGAATGGCCCTCGTACTTGGATTTTCTGGCGGCGTTCCATTTAGTCTTTGTACAATTGTCTGATTCATTTTCAATATATCATATAGTTTTGTACTACATTACTGTTATAACATACCCCACTAGAAATGTAGATTGGTACGAAAAACCACCCCAGCAGCAGCAGGCAGAACAGTCCCTGTAAGCAAGACAAAATTACGTTATACAAAAATAATGGCAGAATCCTGTTAAATGAAACAAATGTCCGGAATGTATATACGATGGTATAATAACCCTGTATAATAAGGCACTTGAATATTTTTTAAATATAATGGTGGAACAGTCCCTGTAAGACAAATGTACGTAATGTAGAACAGACATTGTAAGACACTTATATGTAAAGAGATAATGATGGTAGAAATGATCCAGTAAGTAAGACACAATTCCGTGATGGTTAATTGATGATAGAGAATACCCTGCTAGATAGAGTCATCTTCGTAATATACATGTGACGATACAACAGATCCAGTTAGGATAGCACATATTTGTTATGACAAAGTATAGTAGACATGAGATAACTCCGAAAACAAAACTTGACTTTTGAAATACCCTTATAATTTGTCATTGCAAACTATATTACCGGTTCATGTTTCCTATACCAAAATAAGCGAGCGTAAGAAATACGGAGAAAGGAAGCACTCTCGTTGGTAGCTGAAGAAATAAAAATAGTTAACAGCGAACAGGACCGGTGCCTACAAAACCCTTCACAATGATACAGATTTACAGCTTTAAGCTACAATGGATAATTTATGTTTAAAGAAGTATTTCATGTCAATCATGCTCGATCGATTCTAGTTTATCAGACGACAGGTAATCTCGGCAACTGATAACTTATATGCACCAATATTGTAAAGATACTGCTATGTTAGACGCTTTTGTATTCTCTATATACATAACGCTTTCCTTACAGCAAGGCTATGCTCCATAGTGACAAAAATATGTTAGCATGTGTTACATTGTTATCGTAACGATGGGACCTACCTTAGACGGATATATAAACATGTATGCCTACTCCACATAAAACTCAACGCAAATATAGAGTTGAACAAGGCCATCATAAGATGACAATTTATTATGATTACATCATGACACCAACTATGAAAATGATGTTAACTGTCAATTTACATCCTTAGGTGGGGATTCGAAAGAATTACGCCACGCCAACACATATATATTTAGATCACAAAACAAACAATAATAAAGGGTGGCATGCAAGGTGGGTTTTTCAATAAGGCAAATTTGGTATAAATTTCTGAAAAGATGCTGCCACAAAATGGCGCCTTTCTTAAACCTATCAATAACCTCAAAACAACAGAGGCACCAAGAAGGGGGCAGAGGCACCCTAAGGGGCCTATGTTCGTAGCAATCTTTTAACAATACCCGTCAAAGAGTATAATAGAGGGTGTATGTGTCGCGACATAAAAACAGCTATGCATATAGCTTGCATATAGGATACTGTAGGTATCTTACATACGCTGATCTGTGTAGATAGGGATGGAATGGGGATATTTAAAGTTTATATTTATAGAAAGAAGAAAAGAGTATTTACCGAAAATATTTGTATAGAATTTATTACTTCTATTTACATTTGTATATTCTTTGTATATGTTTATATGATTTCTTTATTTTGTTTATTTTACTTTTTTACTGATTTTCATTAAGTTACTGGTTAAAAGACTATATTAAGCTACATTTAAATTCTAACCTTTCAGTAAATACATCACCATGCCATTAGTTTAACATTTGCGTTCATTTAGTTTTGAAATAACATATGATATAGTGTATAGTGTTGATTTTGTTTACGAAATGTCGCAATATATCAGCAAAATCCTTTTTCTCAATGCTGTTTACACAAGTTGTCATGTGGGCACACATTAATCTCTCGATTTGTGATAGAAAACATCGAGTGTTCAATATTGTAGCATGTTTTTATTGTTTTATAACATGCATTGTGATAGAAAGGACCAACATATGATTGAGCTGATTAGTATTAAATCTTTGAATATATAAATAATAACACACTTAAGTTATCCCTTATACTAATAGTGATTGATACATGCTTGAAGTACGCAAACACATTCACAATATTTACTACTGATCAGCGATTAAAAAGTAGACCGGCAGTGCTTTTTTTCAATGAGGAAATCATAATTTTTGATTAAGGGAATAAAACGATTTATTTCCACATTTTTATACTATTAAATCGGTACTTTCTAACTGCATGACAGTATTCATAAAGTATAGATTTCGATCTAGGACACTCCAGTGTTACTGCTATTGGTGACCCTTACCATGACTTAACAAGAAACATCATCACTTGTGCCACATGTGGTGCAAAAAAAAACCACCAAAAAAAATCAATCTGCCTCGATTTCATGGTTTTGTAAGGCGATTACCGCAATACGTAAAATACATTCAGCGTAGATTAATACTAGAACTCATTGCTGTTTGATGTACACGAACAAAAATGAATTTTGAAGAAAACAAATTGCACGAAGCTTTGCTGAGTGCTTAACTTCAAAATTCTTCTCCCCATTGCTTATGTTTCTCTCACACTTTATAACCTTAAAAATACTCCAAACTAGTGATGGTTAATTCGAATGAACCACGCCTTCATCAATGGCGCATGAAAATTGAGTGACAAATATTATGACGTAATTTATGTAGATATTGTTACGCTGCAGAAAGTGATTACGCGATAGTAGAGTTATCTTTTCCTAAGCAAAATCGGGAATGTGAAGTGTGGAAGGTTAAAGCATGTCTAGCAGAAAAGATTAAGAAGATCTTTGTGAGATACCATAACCTATCAGTTCTAAACGACTCGTGAGTCTCTATGGAGGTCAGATAACGAAATCAAAATCTGCTTATCATCTTAAAATGAAAAAGGGAATTGCAATTTTGTGTTTGTTTTATGAATTTCTGTCTTTATAAAAATGGAATTATATCGAAAGCTAAAAATGTGTGAAAATCGCTTCAGTGACTATCTATACATTGCAATATTGTTTACAACACATATTATTGCAAATGATCTAGAAATGATTCATTTCATTTAGCGAAAGTAAGAAAGTATGATATGTTTTTTAAAGATTCACATTTATTAAAATACCATAAAGGTTAATAAATGTTAAACGCATTATACTGCAGTAACGTTATAAATGTCGTATCAATAAAAACGATCATGAAAGTATATGACCAAGAAAATGCCGTCAAAAGCCGACAACCCATTGATAGACGGACGGATGGATGGACAAACATCTAGTTTAACATCTAGTCGACTTATACATTTAAGTACATATATGCAGATGAAGTGCCCTTTTTATGAAGAATGATAAATACTTTAATACATATAAAATTTGCAATGTTTATAATTTTTAAAAGGAAACTGATGAAATTCCATTGATATAGTACCCCGGCAACAATTATTGACAAATAAAAAATACATCAAATGTAGAACATCCATTCAAACATGTTTGTGAATATGACGATAATATGTAGGAATAGTTTTTGTACCGGTAAACTGACTATGACTTGCTTGTAACTTACATTCAATTCGTAACTAGCAACAGCAATGCCATTGGCTGCCCCTGTTCCTGCCAATCCCACGAAACTCCCGCTGCCAATGTTACTGGAGAAGAGTGAAGCACCTATCTATAATAAAAAAAAACGTGCGGTTTTATCTTCAGCTGAAATGCCTTAAAAAATTGAACACAGCTACAACTAAATTTCGGAAATTAAACCTCGTCTTTTGACTTATGGCACGTTGTTCTTTGGCTTATTTAATTCATGTTTCGAGAACTATTACTTTCATAAAAATAAAACTACATTAAGCATACAGGAGTGTGTTTATGTGCATAAGTATCAATCACACGTTTTTGTAAAATATTACAATATATGTGTGGTGTTGTGGATAGATTTATATACGGTTACTAGAATACGAGTGTTGTGTTTGTTCACGTCGTGATAAATCTGTATTTCTTACTTAAGTTCAACTTCTAGTTGGCAGTGCACCTAGCTGGCTTAAGGTTACATAGGTATATAAATAAGCGACAAGGATCTAAACACCATAACGACACCAGTGATCAGGCTATCTAATTCCTATTCTGCTTTTCGTATCCTTATATAAAACTTTCAATTTCAGAATTTTGGGAACTGTCTTAAAATTTGTAATATAGCTTGTACCTTTGTTTATCGGTGCTCAAATTCGCAAGTCATATAAGTAATTGATATCGGTAAAGAATTACAATATTTTTGAAAATAAGCTAGCTGAAAGGTTTGCGTATATTTATCATCAAGCTAGCTAGGCTTCGGCTATGGGGGCGTTGTTTGATTTAATACCAAGTTAGGGACAAGGAACGAGATGAGTTTGTTTGATGTATATTTAGTTTTACTTCTGGTTGTTTGTATAAGCATACACCTCACCGCAAACCAGAGCATATCCCGTCCTGCTAGAAAATAACCGCTGACACTGCCTCGCTCCGTCCTGAGTGTGGCCTGTAAAGATGGAAGTCACTGAATAATATAGACATACACACGCTCGAACACGGGGTCAGTGAAACCTTCATGAATATAAATGACAAATTAAATACTGTTCATTGAGACATGATTAATTATATTATGGCAGTACATGAGCTACGGATTAAGTATAAGATCAAAGTGATCGAATGGGCAAAGTAAACAACATTTTGCAAAATGTACCGTATATAAATTGCAATATAAACATAGACAAAAACTTTCTTAACAACAACATGCATGAAAACGAAAGTTTAAATCACTGAAGATGTTCCACGCTTACACAACACACATGGAGGCACGTCCTTAAATTACCTTAGCTGTTAATAGGACGTTAAACAATATAAAACCAAACCGATTCATTGTCAACACACAATACTTTATATGTACATATTCTCAAACTACCTCTTTGCCATTGTGTATCTATTTTGTATAAAATCACTTCTTCCCAAAACACTTGGAAAAGGTCATAACATTTGAAAGCCCCTTTTCTGATCTATTTAATAAAAATATCGTACGTGTTACGTTGAATGATTTAAAAATGATTGATTGGTTATGGAGTGGGTTTTTTTGTCATAATAACGCTTCAAACTACTCGGTGAATACCATATAATCAAGCGCTCACGTGAGTTCGATGGTGAAATGTACATTGCATTTACAAATGAAATTTTATTGTCACTTTTTAGCATACCAGTATAAAATGTATCGTTAATATATATGTGTCATTGAGTGAATTGTATTGAAGGTGATTCATAAACATTTTTCCGTCGTCAAGAAATAAAAACAATAATATTGAGAAAAATAATTTCTTTTACCATCCGGAAACTAAATCTTTCAAATTTTTTTTATCACAATATATCATAGACAACATAAGTGTGGTGATGATGGATAACATTATCAATACTATTGGTACCATATAATTTCGTACGTAATACCAAACCTCCAAAAAATGTCAGATAATAAATCAACGTTACTTTAGCATGTGCTTATATATATATTTTGCTAAACATTTTCATAACATGGATTTGATAAGTATAACACACTGCCTCGTCTCTGTAATATTAACAGAATTAAAAGAGAAGTGTATTTATAGCGATGCCTTCTGCGAACGATGTGCACCTATCTTGTGTGTATCTCATACAGACTAACGTTTTGAGGCATATAACTACACAACCAGGATGCAGGTGTGTTCACCTACGGGATATATCTATTTACTTAAAAGAATTTCATCGGCAGGTGATCTTTACATATCAGTTGCAATAAATTTGAAAGATGGTGATAAAAATGCATTTACACTCAGACACACCACAGCAGCAATTCACAAAAACAACCCAAGAACTCGCAGTCGACACGGCTGAACCAAAATATAAACCAGAATGCATCATTGCGAAAATAGGGCATTATAGATCCTTCACCAACAAACATAAAGCGATATATATATATCAAGACAAATTATTTCAATAACTATATTTGGCCATGTGTGCTGTACGTTCACACTCTCAGACAGGCATTATAAAAGTTATGGTCTTCACCATTTTCCTTATGGTTGGCGAAGCAATCCCCTTATCCCAAGATGGCTACAATATGTATTGAACAAAACTACTATTGTACATATACTTTTAGGTTTACATGAGCTACGTTTATGTTTCGTAACATTTTTGGGGGACAAATTTCGTTAAAATCAGATTGTTTAGTTACACAAAACTTACCCATACTCCTGTAGCTAGGCAGAAAAGAAGATAGACGACAATAACGATGATGTCTATTGTCCCTAAGCTTGCTGATGAGAAGGCCGACGCTGTTGTATTAGATGACATCGTTGTTGGATCTATGTTCCCGTTTTAGCCAAGTTTCTGTATCGTATTGAAAGAAATAGTTATACTACTGTTAATTCAACTGCCATAGCTTCGAGATCGTATAGTATATCTAAACGTGGCATGATAAATCTGTACTGTGTGTTTAGTACACAATGCGTTGTCAGGCATCCAGCGTAGTGGCCTACCTTCGTTACATTAGACAGGTAACCGCTGTCTTCTTATACGGGCTACTCTCATCACGTGTCTATGTAGCGAGGTTCACTCGCCTTATAAACCAGTGTACATACGATGTGAGCACGTATCCCGTAAGACTGATAACATACACACTATGGTCCCGATCATCATTGTAGCATCCGAATACAACGGTACGATTTAACACATCTTTGCAATACACATTAATAATTTATTGCATATTCTGTAGGGTACATTTGATGTAAAGTAGATTACAATTCAACAGTAGAAAACATAAGATCTTACTTCAAACTGACAAGCACTGTGTCAACTATAGCCACAGGAAGCAAAACTACATACTTCGTCTTGACCTTGCCATACGCTTGATATCCCCGGGTTAAATATGCATTATGATTCCCGTTATAAAAAAGAAAGACGCGATTATGTTTGTTTGTTTGTTCGTTTGTTTGTTAAACGGCCAATCGACAACTATAATCATTTAGAGACTGAATAATCTTTTTAAGATGGAGCAGATAAAAACTCGTTTGTGTTGCAATCTTTATCAAGATAAGCTTATAAAACGCAGATAGTGCACGGTGGTCAAATAACAAAATTTAGTTAAAATTATCGTGTGAAAATTGAAAGGGAAAGATATTATCCATGAATGCTGTAAAAAAATGAAAAATAGACCAATGCCATTTACGTAAAAATGAAGTAATGCCTCAAAGTGTACAGAAGTAAAACGTTTGACCAATAATGAGCCGAGAGAGGACACACTTTTAAATGGCCCCACTTTTAAAGACAAAGTAAGCGAAGTTAGATTTTTTATATTAACTTTAAAACAACTTAAAATCTTTAATGATACTATAGCTAGATACTGAGAAATTGACAACAGCCAATGTCTATAGAAATGGTCGTGGGCAAAACCGATGGTACAGCTTCAGCAGAGAAAATGGAATCAAATTGAAGTGAAATGGTGAGCAGAACAGCAGACTGCTGCTACTCTTTAGTCATCTTTGGAACCTTTAGTGCAAAGCTATGCATGAGCAGGGAAACTCCGGAAAGGAGGATTGGTATTATTCGGGGAGCGCACTGGATATTAGCAGCTCATGCAATGCAAATTAAACACCATGTGTTTGCATAGGCTTATAGTCCAAGGTGGAACATCCAATATGTTGTATTCAGCTATGTTAATTCAAATGTATGTCATGCAGGTAAATGGACATTTTGGTAGCAAATGTCGGTGGGAGTTTTTGATTTCGTGGGAGTGTGTTCCAGTATTTTTGGTTCAAGACTGTGTTAAAGGCAGGCATTTTTATTTGATTTCAGATTGGAAGCAAACTGTAAGGTCAGTATTTTACTTCGGTCGTTAAGATAAGGTTCATTCGCTTCCATTTACAAGGAAGTTCACTGGTGTTATTCGAAAATCGAACCCTTGATTATTGATGTCACTGTCTGCATCCCAATCAGTATAAGAGATGACTCGGAGAATTGTTCAGACGCTTTATATGTAGAATTAGTCTCAATTTATTTCCTGGAAATAAACATATTTGTGTAAGAGAGCTACCATAGCCTTCAATGTCAAAGGAATGATATACTTTGTCTTTGCAAACTATATTGTAGAAGCTGGCTCCTGTTCGTCATATGTAGGATAGTCCTTTGCCTTAATCCTGTACAATTGCCTACATATGCTACATTGTGTACTGACCGGCATGAATATCTAATGACATATTTCATTTGAACACGGTACATCAATGTTCTCTCCCTAGGGAGATGCACGTGAGGACAGTGGATGTAATTGTCATACCATATTTGGTCAGGGGCCCAATCAACACTCTACACGCATCCTCTGAACCAATCAGCGTAGCGCGCACACTATTGGAGAGATTCAGACAGCGTCCCGTGACCATCTTTCTGAAATTATTTCTGCTGTAAGTCCATGATAGTTTGTGTCTCTTCAGTTTTATTATTTTGGCGCTTTTTGCCTTAAAATCCAATCCTGTTCCTCACTGCGTATTTTGGACTCGAGACGGTGCTATTATTTTTCCTTATTGCAATGGTGATTTTTGATGTCTCCTTATTTGGAATTCAAATGATTCATTGCTATTCTACTGTATTCATAATGTTCTTTGTATTTCTGCTGTATTCATAATACTAATTGTATTTCTGCTGTATTCATAAAACTCATTGTATGTCTGCTGTGTTCATAATACTCATTGTATTTCTGATGTATTCATAGCATATAATACGTAATACAAAATGACAACAAAACCAAACATCTCATCTGTACAATCCAGGATCATTAATAACTGATTATCATACTTGTTAGCTGGTAGTGTCACAATTGTACTTGACCATGTAACAATAACCAGATCCTTAGTTATTTTTTTTCTAAGATAACACTGCCAACAGAACAAGCTTCAGTCTCTGAACATGTAACCATGCAGAAATAAAAGACATGTTCGAAGAAAAAAATAACCCAGTAAAGGTTTGCTCAACAGCTGGAATTCTTATGCCATTACAAGTACGAGATATTGGACAATGTATGGTTTTCGTTTTTAACAGAACTGCTTGCATACGGTTTTTGTTTTAGAGAATTTGAAGCCGTTTTCGTCTACCCACATTTTCATCGTTGATGAAGTTGCCGTTGTATTATGTGTATGGTCCTCGAACGGTATCAGATCAGGAACTAACGTTTGACTGATAGAATTCACCCTGGTGTACTCCAGTTTCCTGTTTAGCAGTTCAGACAATGTTGACTGACACGGACCTTGAAATCGAATAAGTAAAAAGAAATGAAAACGGAGGGATGTAATTTATTTGAAGTAAACAGTAAACACAGCACATATGTTGTTTCTCATTATCGTCATCAAACGCATGCTAACTTTGATATGCTCGAGTGAAATTTTTGATGTGAAGGAAAACCAAGGAATTACTAATGTAATACCTACAGTATAACAAGTGCATTTACGATAGTGGGTATACAGAGATTAAACATGCAGTTTGTAATTAAACCGATCAAGCCAATGATATAAAATATATGAGCTGGAACGTCAACAAGTATAAATTAAGTTTCATAACTTTGTTTTTTTTTGATATTTCTAATTTCTAATATATATAATTAAATGATGTAATACCTATAATAGGTGCGATTGTGGTACAATTGTAATTGGTATAAGCAGTTTGAAATTAAAATACGATAAAGCAATATATACGTTACATATGAGCTTTATATGGAAACAGCGACTAGATTGGTTTTCAACTACAAACCTACGCTTCAACTGAAGTTAGACGATGTAAATGATGTAATACCTACAGCAGGTGCAATTATTGTACATTTTTACTTGGTATATAGAGATTAAGCATGCAACTTGAAAATTAGTTCGGCAAGGGAAATATGAAACCAAGACAGATAATATGAGCCCCATGTTACGTCCACAAAACCTGTAAAACGAATTTGTCATACGACAAACTCAAAAATAAAATAAATAAATCAAATTCAAATTAGAAAATATTTATTCAAATTCACAATACAAAGCCAACAGTGATAAAAAAATTCATATTCTCGCAACCTCGCCGACAGGAATAACACCGGATAACAAACTGTACCTTGTTCGCCAATCCTTAGGGTACATACGGGTTCATATGCAGAGACGAATACAGCTCCTGTCGGTCAGCCGCTATGGTTTCAGGATACTGGTCCGTCGTGTGTGAATCGAACCTGTCAGCCATTGTTGTGTTATGACAGGCAACAGGTACTCGGAACGCTTTAGGATCTTCGTCTATACAAACTCGGCTTCAGCCAATGGAGTTAGAATTTCATGTACCTGTAGATTCTAGTACCATATACCCTGTACCCTGTACCATGAACCCTGAACCCTGTACCCTGTACCCTGTACCCTGTACCGTCCACTAGCAGTATGACAACAAGCAATATATACGTAATATATGAGCTTTATGTGAGACAGCGACTAGATTGGTTTTAGTGGCTTTATATAATTCTTCAAGTTTTATTATATCCAAATGCAATACAGCATATAGGTTACAAACATACATAATTAAATATTCAAAATTCATGTGTGATGTACAAGATGGCGGAGGACAATTCCATTCAAATATATATATATATGCCTACAGACGTGTAATACTGATATCACGTGCAGTTTTACAGCATGATTTTTCGTAAATTTGTGAAAAGGACAGCATATAACAATATAATCATATGTGTGACGTTACTACGTGTATATGTGTGACGTCATGATAGGATGACATCATAATGAAAACACTACATATAATTTCAAACAGCCAGAAAGAACCATGGGATGTCATTAAAGTACTATGTAACGCGTTATTAACGAATATTGAATAACTATTATTATAGTATGTACACTTATAACAAAGTAGTTTCAAATAATATTTTAATATAATATCACTACTGAGCGAGGAGAATTTTCCTTTTAGTAGTAGCGTGCCACAGATATTTACCCAGTCTATTTAAAAATTTAACACTTTTACAGGTAAATAATTCTATTAGTTTATAGACACTTGGGTGTCGATAATAATACTGTTTGATGTATGCTTTTCTTAAATCAGAATATGCAGGACAAAGTAGTACAAAATGTACTTCATCTTCGACATCATTTTTATCGCAGACTGTACATATTCTCTGACCTCTTGGAATGTTATCATAGTGCCCAGATTCTATGTTAAGACTGTGTGCTTGCATGCGAAATTGACTCAATAACTTTTGTATCCTTATATTATTGGGCTTAGTCAGATAGAACTGGACGCAAAAGGTATCAACAATATGCTTGTACAAATAACATTTTGAAGATGCATCAAAAGCACTGCGTTATTCTTGGACAAATACATCATGAACACATTGAGCAAAAAAAGGTTTTCGTTTTGTACATATTGGCAAGTCCAAATATAATTAAAACCCAAACTACATAGTTCATGCTTAATTTGATAAACCCAATTAATTTTACATTTAGGTTTTCTGATATTCTATTCGACTAATGCGTCGTAACATGATTTTAAAACATAGTTACATGTACAAGTATTTAAAAAATTTAACCAATATC